TGTTGCTTGAGAAACAAGTATTTGGCCTTTGTGACAGCAAGATAAAAGCGAGGCGGTGGCTGCTCGTCTTTTACTGAGATGTTACACTTTGTGTACTTTATACGAGAAAAAAAAAAAGCAAAGACTGAGACCAGGTGCAGAGTAACAATTTATTTCTCCGCAGTGTGCAGAACCAGGCCCAAGTGTTTTGTTCCTTCTTATTCTTTTCTTGCAACTCTTTAGCATGACATGAAAAATTGAATGTTTGCTCTCTTCTCTGAGTGCAGACATTAGTTTCACAACAGTGCTAATGTTGGGAACGGCGATCAACTGATGTATTCGAATGAAGTACTCCTCCCCCTTCCTCCCTCACAGCTCCCGCTCTTGTTTTCCAGGTGAAATTGCTATCCGCGTGTTCAGAGCCTGCACTGAGCTGGGGATTCGAACTGTAGCCGTGTACTCTGAGCAGGACACCGGACAGATGCACAGGTAATGTAATCTGTGCTGTATTGTAGCTACACAGGTCTGCTTGCTTGGAGTCATTTCTGCTGTGATGCCACTGCTGAGTATCAACCACCAAATCCTAACATTTGATTAAAAACACCAGCCATTAGAGGGAGTAAGGGAGCCTTTTCTCTTCTCTCCTGTGTGAGGCCATTTTCTTTGTTTTGCCACTGGTATCAAGTGCAGACATAGGTACAATTCTATTGACATAATAAACATTCAGGTAATTACACCGCCTTAGCTTATACACACAAAACATCCTTATCTGCTCCATTGTCAGCCGCTTCTTATTCCCTAATGTCTTTATTTTGCAAGAGGTGTTTTACTGATTTGCTGTGACTTGTTATCAGCCTTTAATTTTCTCTAGTTTCTCTCTCCTCTTTTTCGTTCTCCTACGAGACTGCGTTTATCTCGTGTTTTTTTTTTTATACCCGTTCTCAGTTTCCATATATCTGACGACCTACAAGAGGTTGATAGAAGCCCAAGTTTCCATAATTAGAGTAGTGAGATTAATTAGGCTAAATATGGATGCCAGTGTTTACTGAGCCTTGAAAATGCTGCCTTGAAACCACAAAAGCTGTTTCCCTTAAAATCCAGAGCATATTTTAACACAGGTTTAAGGTCTTCCTTCATTTAACTTGTGAAAATCCTTTGCACTTCACAGGCAGAAAGCTGATGAGGCTTATCTGATTGGAAAAGGCCTCCCACCTGTTGCTGCATACCTACATATACCTGACATCATTAAAGTGGCCAAGGTAAGGGTTCCGCATATTGAATTTATTTTGTTTTTATTTATGCTATGCTAGACCGCCTCTGGTAGCCCCTGAATGCTTCCAAAGGATCAGGGCCCCTTTGGTAGCCCCCAATCCTTTGGTGGCATTCACTGCTGTTGCTTCAAAAACTTTAATGAACTTAAAACACTGATTCCTACAAGACTGGTGCTTTTCTTTCCTTTCATATTGGTGTCATTTCCTCACTGTGGCACCAGCATGGGAGGTAACAAAATATATAATGTAGTGTAGTGCCCTACACTGCATTAGTTGTGGCCCCCCCAGGGAGAACAGCCAACCACTTTGGGGACCACTGTCCTAGAGTGTAAGGAACAGGCAAGACATCCTTGCAGGTTGCTTGTGTAAAAAAAAAAAAAAAAGTAAAGCTTAATTTAAATAAAAAGTGTTTCTACTGGATGTCAACAGCTCTGAAAATAGCTTTTTGTACACCATCTATCTTCACAAAACACAAGTGAAGTGTATAGGATAGGACAGGCCTTAGAGAGGAGATGGTGGATACATTAAACAAAGTACTGGAGATTGCAGAAGCAGACAGGAGAAAAAGACAAAAACCCTTTGAAGAATGGACTCATGAATGTAGCAAAGAAGGACATGAAGATGTTTGGTCTAACAGTTAAGCAGGCAAAGACAGAGTGAGATGGAGGCTAATGATCTGCTGTGGTGACTCCTGAGGGAAGGAGCTGAAAGAAGGTGAAGAACGACGTCGGTCTCCAGTTAAGAAACTTAACTCAACTTGAATAAGCTATCAGACTTTATTCAGCTTAAAGGATTTCAGTTTGAAGCAATGGTAGGAAGCCTTTAATTAGTATAAAATGATAAGTTCAACACGTCTGTTAACTTTCTTCATGCAAATTGAATGGAAACATAATCTGTCTTTATTACGACTACAGGGACCTTAAAGCTGTGAATGTGAGGCAATTAGGTTAAATTAGTGTAAACTAGGGTGAGTAGGTTGAGTAATGATGCCTGCTAAAAGTTTTTATGCCGATTTTGTTGCGTTTCTTTGAGTGCTTCATATTTGGAAGCAGCCCCTTTGCGGCTAAATACCAGAATTTCCCAGTAGTCAGTCAGAACTGAAGAAGCCTCTTGGATGAGAGGCGACATGTCTTCAAAAAACCTACTCCGTCCAGTTGGTTTTGATGTAACTATTTTTGGAGTTGTTCAAATTAGGAGTTTGTATGTTCTCCCTGTGTATGTGTGGGTTCTCTCCGGGTACTCCGGCTTTCTCCCAAAGCCCAAAAAAACATGCTAAATACGGAAGTAGGTTTATTTGACACTATAAATTGACCATGGGTATGAATGTGAGTGTGAATGGTTGTTTGTCCATACATGTAGCCCTGAGATGGTCTAGCAAACTGTCCAGGGTGAACGCCGCCTGTAGATAGCTGGGATTGACTCCAGCGTCCCCTGTGACTCCAAAAGGAAATAAGTGGTAGATAATGAATGAATGCGTTATTGTTGTTGTAAAGGCTGATTAATTTGTGTTTCCTCTGATTATTTAACTCTCATTGTTTTTCATTGGCATAGCTGCGTTTAATGGATTTCGAAGTTGTACAAATAAGTCTGCGAGAGACTGTCAGACTCCCTTTATTTGAATGTTGTTTACACAGAACCTATAGTGGCTTTGCTGGTAATGAGGAAACAGGGAAAAAGCCAACCTCTGAATTTCTCCCTCGCATCTGAATTCAGGGTTGGTCCAAACTGACTAAACTATTGTCTTAAATAATAATGTTGTTGCTACTACTTCCAAAATGTCCCAAAAAAATAACCAACTATCTGCCCGTTCTATCTGTGTTCCTCAATTTTGATACTTATCACTGTGTTAAATCAGATTTGTTCCTCGCTGCCTCCCTCCATCCCTTTGGGAAGGCCTGCCATTTCTTCCATTATCATTTTCAGGTTGAGCTCTCACAGTTGATAATTTTCTTCAGGGACATGTGGCCAGGCAGCCAAATTGGGAAACATTTGCCATCCAACTCATTTCTCAAAATCCATCTGTCTGTTTGGGAGCCCGGCCACCCTATCCCATCAAGAAGTGTGTCTGTGCGTGTGCGTGTGTGTGTATTTCTGTTCTTTCCACTCCTGTTCTCACTTTTTCAGCGAGTGTCATTCTTCACACTCCATCACTCCATTACCCTGTAACCAAAATAACCACTCCTTCCTGTACCTTCTCTCGGGCGTTCATTTCCCCTCTGTGCTGTGCTAATGTGTGCGTCTGTTTACACAATGTTAGTGCAAGTCTAACGTGTGTAAATCAAGGGGAGCCATGCAGATTTTGCCGTGTCAAATGTTGTGCCAAATGTAATGCCAAATTATCCATGGAATTTATACTGTGACCAGAAGCCATATACTTTTGGATTATGAAATCAAACAAATGTTGACATGGCTACAAATTGCCACCATTATCAGCCTAACATTGACTTAAGTGAACAATGTAGTGCCAATAATTCAAGCTAAACCCATGCTAACTTCAAGATCAACCTACTGCACATTTTCTAGTGCAGTACCAGCTGTCCTACTGACAGGAAAACCTGCCTCCAAGTTTATCTCCTCATTTGAGGTTGACTGGAACTATTTTGGCTGGCGCAATTTGTGGTGGACATGAATATTTTGGAGTTGGACATTTCTGAAGTAGTGAAGAAGTGAATATGTGGTAATGGTTATACTTCCCGGAAGAGAGATCTAAATAAAGACTCACTGGATTCCTTAACTGTCCATCTTGTTTTATTTAATATTATTATTATAATAAAATATTATATTATATTATTATGTAATAATAATATTAATATAATGTAAAAAAATCTACAAACCTACCACAAATACACTTGGTGACCCCTGCTGGTGAGAAATGTTTCTTACTATTTTTTTCTTTTTTTCTTTTTACTGCCCCTCCTAAACAAAAATCTCACAAGAAGTATGTGTAGTGAAATATAATAATATTATAGTTTCAATTAACTCACAATTTACTCACTCAGTGTCAAATATCTGCCTGTTTAGTTGAAAAAAACAAACAAATGCTGATATACTTGCAGGAATTGAAGAAAGACATACAAAGATCTTCAACAGCTCTGATTCTTTTTTTGTTTTGTTTTCATAGCCATCTGCTGCCACCTAGCGGATGAGTATTTAATTGTTCTGCTTTTTGTGCTTTGACAAGCAAAGAAAAATTATATGCAATAAATATTTAAAATAAAATAAATAATTAGTTTTTAGCACAATTAAGTAAAATTTGATAATTTTCCACGGCACGCTAGTGTGCCACGGTACGGTGGTTGGGGATCACTGTTCTAAGGTGTGATGGTTTGGTGTTCTGTAATTTGACTCTGTCTATATTGCATATATATGAAGCTTATTATGTCATTGATGTTTTGTCTTTGCAACAGTCATTGATGGGTGTTCTTTTTGCATACGTTTACAGTATTTCCCTGTGTGTGTGTGTGTCTGTGTGTATGAGTGCTCCGTACCTGGTCGTCTTTTCTGGCCTGCTAGTAACAGCTCCCTAAACAACGGGGCAGCCCATAATTATACACTGCCTTGTATCCAAGAGCAGATGGCACACACTGAGTCAGAGATGGTTCTATCTGTCAAGCTCAGCAGTTACTGTATACTATTGCCATACGCTTGCATGTTTTCTCCTGACACTCAAATTATGATTTGTCTTCTCAATGAGTCTCCTATTGATGAGGATGAGGACAGCTGCAACAATGATATTCTGCTGGCTTGTGGAATGCGTCAAGAGTTATTTCAAGACATCTGTGAAGCCTTTCTCTGCGGGGTTGTTAGTCCGTCTATATGTAGTCCCTCATATCCATTTGGTTTTTGTGTCAGTCAGCGTATCAGCTGCAAGGCTGGTCTGATGCAAGCCAGACGTGTGACCTGAAGTTGAAGCCTCTACAAACACAGGCTGAGCATTAAGATGGTATTTTAAGCTTGAGGTGCTTTAGTTAAATTAAACTTTTCCCCACAGTGTTTAATTGACTGTGACTGTCATTCTGCTCATGACTTAAAATTGTTACAAAGTATCATGATAAATTTCACAAATTATTAAAGGCATACATTTGCCGAGCCCTTATTAATACTCCTATTATCTTCTGCCACTTGTTAGGACAACAACGTGGACGCCATCCACCCAGGCTACGGTTTCCTCTCTGAGCGGGCAGATTTTGCCCAGGCCTGCATTGATGCAGGAGTGAGGTTTGTGGGGCCAACCCCAGAGACGGTCCGCAAGATGGGAGACAAAGTAGAGGCTCGTATGTTGGCCATCAAAGCAGGTATGGACGTAGTTGATGAATCTGATCCACCTTGGTATTTACTCTACCTACAAACTTTTTTATCTGTGACTCCTCACATTGTCTCAACTTCGACAAAGGAAAAAAAGAAAACACACAAAAAAGTGAGAGTGGATCACTTAATTCATAACAAAGCAGCAGGAGGAGACACATTCCTACAGCTCTGCATTTGTCAAGTCATGGCACACATCTGTTACTTCAGATGTACCAACAAAAGAAGTGTGATTCTCTGCAGGAAAACAAAAATCACTGAATCATGTTATCACTTAGTGTTAAACATCAAATCATAACTTTTTCTCTTTTCATCAACCAAAAGCTACATTTCCACCTAAGCTTGATTGTATATCATTAGTTGGTATTTTTTGTTACTGTTTACTGTTTACTTTGCAAAGCTACATCTGTGCAGATTTATGAAGCTGAGGCACTGTGGTTTGTATGATTGAAATAACATCGTCACTGACCTGTAGGATATATGTTCAAAGCAGCTTGAACCTGGACAATATACCATGGAGTTTATTTTTTTGCTTGACAATGTAAATTGTGCTTTGAGAAATAACATTTCTATTAAACACTTTGGCATACAACTATAACAATTGATTTGCTGAAAGAGCGAGGGAGTATTTGTTAATTAAATATAATTTTCTCCATAATTTGTCATTGCTTATTTTACAAAAGGACTATGATAATTGAAATGATAGGAAATTTAAATGAGAGAAATAAGAACGGGAAGTATTTTTCTTTTTCTTTTAATATCACAGTATTATACATAAAAAAAGAAACAAAGGTCTTGTTGTAATTTCTTATAATAAGCTATTATAAATAGCTTATAATAACAAATAAATAGCCATTTGGTTTTTGTTTGTGGCCCCAGTTATACATCATTGCTCCATATGGTAGTGTGTGATAAAATATGTTGAAGTTCATTTATCAGTGGTAGGGTTTCCTCAAATTGAAACCAACTTCTCTTTTACAGTCGGATGCTTTCTGCCTTGATAATGATGAGGATTCTGTCTCCTTTTTTGTTGACCTCTAACCCCGGCTGTGCCCTGGCTCTTTTTGCTTCAGTTCCTACACTCAGAGCTTTTAATTTATCTTTACTGGAGTGCATGAACATAATTATACTAGATCTTTTAGCTCTTTACTTACTTCGAAAAGCCATTGCTCTGCTCATGATCTTCATTAAACTTTTTAGTGGATATTTTGTTTTACACCTTGCTGTAAGAAGATGATTACACTCTGCTGTTAAGAAACTGATTTCCCCTCTGAATACCTCTCTTTGCAGGTGTACCCGTGGTCCCTGGTACCGAGTCTCCAATTTCCAGCATGCGTGAGGCGCAGGTGTTCGCTGAAACATACGGTTTCCCCATCATCTTCAAAGCTGCGTATGGAGGTGGCGGTCGTGGCATGAGAGTGGTCAGAGAGTACGAGGTGAGCTCATCACCTGCTGCCATACGTGCTCACTTGTAAGCAGAGAGAAGATTAAGCAGTGCACTCCCACAGCACAAGTCGTGACTTGATGTTTTATCAGAGACGTGCACCTGTTCCTGGACAAATTTAGATTTTTGTGTGCACATTAATTTTTTGCTTGTTACATCAAAGTGTGAATACCTGAAAGTTACGAAAAGGCCATTTGTCTTTTATTTGCCTGTCACTCTGTGTGTGTGTGTGTGTGTGTGTGTGTGTGTGATGGTGTGCGTGTGTGTGTGTTCTGTCGGGAATAGCTCGGTTACCTGAAGGAACCTTGTTCAGCTGAGAACAGAAGGGATTTTTTTTTAAATTTATGACATCCCTTTATTAAGTTTTGTTTATATGAGCATTTACAAACAGAATGGTGAGACTTTTATAGACTGCATAATCAATCAATGATGTCAGTTTACTCTATTATATTCCATCACCATTTCTGTAGGTGGCCAAGACTCACTTTTGCGCAAAGAGGAATTCCTTCCTCTCATTTCAGTACTACACTGCAAATCTGTACGTGGGTCTTTCTCAGATATATTGGTACTTACAGACAAGTCCGTGCTGGTCGCGGTTTTTGCTAACGCCAGCATAACTTCCTGTTTTGGCCCTTTTGTTTCGGTGGAAAAAAGTATTTGGGCCGAAAACCAAAAATTCACTTTTGGGCCATTCTTCTCCGAAAATGTTCGGTGGCCAAATATTCGGTGCATCCCAAATATATAGTGATAGTAACAGTATGTAATAACTGTAATAGTAAGATAAAATAACAGTATATAGTAGTAATGATAGCTGCAACAGCAAAAAATTATAATTATTTAGGTTGGACCTTTTCTGTAATATACACCAGATAGTTGGTTCAGTTTAAGCAGAAAAAATATTTATACATAAAAAAAAATCATGTCTCCAGTTTTCTCTAATCAAATATTAATAACCCATATATACAGTACTTAGGCTTAAGATAATTTGGACACACTGAGATTCACATTTTCCTCTGGAATAATAACTTGAGATGAGAGTTATGGGATTCATTTAACCTTCCAGTGGACTCACCACCCGCAGGAAGGTTTAAGGGGGTTGGTACGGTGCAATGTGATTTGGGTGGCGACTGCTGCCCCCGCGACCCGGTAACGGATAAGCGGATGAAAATGGATGGATGGATGGATGGATGGATGGGATTCATTTAAGCGCTGACCCATAGTAAAATATCACGTTTGAAACTCTTTGGTCAGCGTTAGTCTTAGTGTCTTCATGCTTTACACACACTAATCTACAGAAGGAATATCAGCGCTGTGTGTTACTTTCTTCCCCGAGACTCACGAGTCAGCAATCTACTGGGAAGAACGACCTTTTCCGAGTTGAACCCCAGTCTAATTAATTAGTTGTCGACATTTCTGGTTATTCAGTGGAGTCACAGGGGCCTGCGCAGCTCAAGTTGATATGATGTGAGAACAATATAAAGAGGTTTTTCGGCACTTCTGGGATCCGAAGCAACAATGCGTGAATTGACTTTTATTCTATTAAGGCTAGCTTGTAGGTCACTTGTATGCCCAATTAACCCAGGGAGCCTAACTAGTTCCACAGCCAGTTCCAATACATTTTTCTACCTAAAATTAGACATGACATGTTTTTTAAAGAGTAAAGAATGTAAAGCTACAGCTGTCAAAGCTGTACGTTGTACCATATAGGTAACAACACACACAATCTACTTACCTACCAGAAGAAGTCTGTTAACCCAGTTGCGTCACTGACTTAGAGATAGAGTATACAAGTATTATAGGCTAGTGTTTCATAGGCAGAATTGTGAGCCCCCTCTCCCTCCAGTGCTCATTAGAGTGATAAACTGCAGTTTAATGCCCTGGTCTAAAGGTTGACTACCAAGTGTAGAAATCTCCACCTGTGTCACCAATATTTTTCCACAACAACCAATTACAAATTAAGCCTCTGATGGAAGTCAGAGTTTCTTTGATATAAGGAATATTCTCCCAGATGACTAAATCTAAGCCAGCGGTCGATGACATCATCACATGATGACGTGACACCATTTAATCATGCAGGCCAAGATCAAAGATGGAGAAGGTTAAAACCCACTTTGAATAAATCCCATTTAGATGTACCAAAAGTCCCTGCAACTGGTCCCAGTTTCTCTTGTGGACATAAGTTTTCTTCTGTAAGTTAAAAGACAGTTGAAAATGGACTTGCATACAGACATGGTGACAGTGACTCATTTTCTTGCCCAGTGAAGAATACTTGCTGTCTTACTGACAAACATAGATTGAGTGGTGACCTTCAGCAGGGCTTGGTCTTGACCTCTTACAGTCCAGTCCTGGTGTGGCATCCTTTGCTCTGAGCCTGTGTAAACAGTCACAACCAGATGGGGAAAAAATACACCATCACACACGAGGGATTCAAATGTAAAATTAAAGATGTTCCCGATAAAAGTAAATTATGTGATAAAGCACAGCAGCCTTATGTGGAAGGACCTGTTTGTAGAGTGACACAGTGCTATTTACACAGACTCTCTTACTCAGACATGATGGATTTCTCCTGTCTGTCTGTCTTTCTGCCAGGAACTGGAGGAGAATTACCAGCGGGCCTACTCTGAGGCTCTGACGGCTTTTGGGAATGGAGCCCTGTTTGTTGAGAAGTTCATTGAAAAGCCCAGACACATTGAAGTACAGATCCTGGGTAGGTGTTCACTGGACAACATGGTTTGTGTCTGCCTTTCAAAGTGTGTAGGTTTTCTATGTTTAATTTTTACCTACTAAAAATAAATAAATAATCAAACAAACAGAGTACATTGCAAGTCGTTGCAAATAGTAACAGTGTTAAAGAAGGTGGTACAACGGTAGAGTGATGAGAGTGGATGAGATTTATTGTCCAGCCAAAGGTTTGACCCATTATTTTTCATCATGATAGCGTATGTAACCCAATAACCACTCAACAGAACGCAAATGAAATCAAACACTGGCCCTTACTGGAAGCATCTGCACCTGGAGAATACACTGTGTATTTGTGCACATGTTTTTTTTTTATAATGTCCAGTAAGCATTTGTGTTTTAATATGTGCCTCTGTGTGTGTTAAAGTATACATCCTTTTGTCTGTGTAACTGTCTGCTTCCCTTGTATCTGTGTGTCCTGTCTGTGTCTGTCTATCTTGATCCTTGTCTGCATGCTGTGTGTTTGTCCACTTGTCTTTCTTTGTGTGTATCCTTCTGTGTGTCTCTTGGTTTGTCTGTCTGCTTGTGTTCTGTTTCTGTGTGTGGTTTTGTTCCTGCCTTTAAAAACATTACTGCAATGTAGTCGTGTGTGCCTGAGTGGTCAGTGTCCATGGATTTTATTTGTATTTCTTGCCTAGTTTTTGTGTGTGTGTGTGTGTGTTTTGCAGCTTGTAAGAGTCAGGTGAACATTGTGCTCCCTGCTGTCATTTGTCTTTGGGCACATGCAGTGTCAATGTTGACCTTAGTATCATGTGTCTTTTCATCTGTATACAGACTGCTTCAAGATGTGCTTTGTAGCAGAAACATTTCTGACACTGCCTGGATTTTCCCAAAGGCTGTCTGTGGCTGACAGCAATAAATTGTCTATTGATCAATATGTCTCTCAGCGAACCCAGGGACCACAGAACATTTCTTTCAAACCTCTGTCCTCACGATGATTCAATTATCCCATTCTCTGAACTGAGTATTTTAAGGATAATCTCTGATTATAATTTCTTGTATCTCTCCTCACCTTCCTGTCTCCTGTTTCCTCAGGTGATAAATATGGTAATGTCATCCACCTGTATGAAAGAGACTGCTCCATTCAGCGCCGGCACCAAAAGGTTAGGTCCTTGTTTCAATGTTCATTTATCCCAAAATTAATATTTGAATGCAGGGTTAGGATTATCTGCGTGACATTTATGCTGTATTGCCTTGATTAGCATGAAATAGATGTTGTTGAGGAATGGGAATGACATGAAGGTCAAGGATGAAATCAAGCCTGAATGTTTTTATTTATTCCTTTTTTCCTGACCAGTCAACCAGTTAAGCCAGAGAAATAATTAGGATTGATGCCGTTCTAGTGATAGCATTGATTATTATGACACTGGTGTCCAGAGTAGCAGGGAGTAAGAGGCTTAAACAGTAATAATCCACCCTTAATGCTGTTTGAATAGAAGTCTTCATGCAGGGAAGAAATAAGCTGTTTGAGAGCAAGATATAATTTTATTAGTAACTACATCTACCTAGGATTGCCACTAGGTGGCAGTGACGCGAGGTGGGTAAGATCATTACTTAGCACTGTCCCTAAATTCATCTGTACTGCTCTTTTTTGTAGATGGGATTGTTGAGCCCCTCCACATTTTTAGCTTTCGAACTTTATTTTATACACGAAGCCTTAAAATATTGATGAGGCCAGATAAACAGAAAAAGTCCAAATACTAATCAGTGATGGTTCTTTGTAATTGTCCACCTTTTGAGCTCTCTTTCGGTCAGAGTCTTGTTACAGTGCCCTGCAATAGCTCTGTGACCTCCCTGTCAAGCACACCCCTCATTTTCAGAACCCACCTTCTGCCTTAGGCAAATAAGGGGGGAGGTGGGCACATTGCTAAATTTAAATGTCGACACACCCAACCAATGAGTGAGCTGCAGTCAGCCTTTAAAGAACATTTGGCTGCTCCATTCTTTGGTTCTAATCATAGGGGATGATTAGTGTGTGTGATTTTCAGGTGTAATTCCCAGCCTTTGGGATTCCAAAAAAGTGACATGTAATATTTCCTGACAAATGATCCTCTTGAAATGTTTCCTTGCCATTTTAATTCCCAGTATTAATAACACAATGCAAGCCAAAGCCCCTGTTCTTGAATCCTGACCACTTGATGTAGGATCATGTGGTTGATTATGTCTGAAGGTTTTTCTTCTCGCCTTAAATTAATAATTATTCCTTGGGGTGTTTTTTTTTTTTTTTTTTTTTTTTTTTTTGCAATTGGCATGCTAGAAAAAGCATATTCAGGTTCCAGTGTTTTCAATTTGATTTATTGGTAATTAAACCTTCCTTTTCTTTTTTTACACTGTGTTGTGAAGCAATGCTCAGGAGCCAGAGCCAGACGAAATAACTGGCTGAATATGTCTTGAAATGAGTCGCTCCATCTGGTGTATTGAATCTACAATTATACCGTCTGGATCGAAATGATTTAACAAAGCATGTTATGAAAACAGATAGCGGCAATTACTTCACATGGTTTATAAATTAATTGTAGATGTAGTTTTGTCTTTGTTTAGGGAATCAGTTGCAACGCAGGAGATTAAACAATTAAATGAACTACGGCAATACATCTCAAGCATCTATAGTTTTGACTAAGTGATACTTGTGTGTAGAGTGTGCTGTGAAAGAAATCAACTGTTGTGATGAACCAAGCAGACAATTATTACCCACCTCTATGGTTCCTGGTGGCTCTGTGGGGAGTTCAAGCATCTGTCAGCTTGTTGTTGGCGCCTCAGTTTGCAGTTTAACTGGGTTCACTTTCAACAGATCATGATGCTGCTGTCGCACTTTACCTGGAAATGCCCTTTTTATGACCATTTGTCTCACATTTGTTTGCAGTTACATTTGTTGGTAGTTCCTGAATTACTTAGTACAGGTGTTTATAGTGCTTGTGATGGGTACATCTGACTATTTTGTGATTCTGACAACAGTTTACAACTTTCTGTCTTAAGACTTTATTGACATCATCCGAAACTGCCTTTGTTTTTAAAGGTTGTGGAGATTGCACCGGCCATCCAACTGGATCCTCAGCTCAGAGACAGACTCCATGCTGATGCTGTCAATCTGGCCAGACAGGTAGGATTGTATGACTATTGATGACATGTGACATCTGTTCTGTCGCCACTCCCCAAAAATTCAGGTCAAATATATCATTACATTGCAAAGAAAAAAAATAACCTGAAGTAAATGGTAAGAAGCATTTAATGGCAGAACCTCTCCTCAATCATTTTTCAATCAGAGAGTGCACAAAATTAATAGATGTGAAAAATAAAATAATATAAAATATTCATGGTCCACTAGCCTGGTGATGAGATCCATTATTCACCAGGAAGTAGACTTTTCCCTTAGCTGACATGGGAAGTATCAACTCCTTTAAACTGCACTTCGTGAATATTTGGTCACTTGTTGTGAAGTCTTAGCAGACTGGCGTGAAAAATCTTTCTGTAGAAGTGTGCGTTACATTAAGGTTGTGTTTAGAAGGTCTACTCAATCTTCTAACAGCAATTAGTCTGTAGAAAATTCTCTCCAGGGATTTAAAGCTGCTGTGTACCTATGATAAAAAGGGGCAAAAATGTTTGTGTGTGTCTGGGAAAATAAAAACGGTGTCAGCGTTTGGGTGGATGTAGATGTCAACTGTGCAGATGCTTAATATATTTATGAATTTTGTGAGTAAGCTAAACGTAACAACGTAACTTATAATCACCTTCTCTGCCAAGATAAAATAAAAAAAAAATGTCAACAATGAGCCAGATGAAAGCTTAGATTGTTATTAGCCTTTAAAAAATTGTGCTGCTGTTTTTGGCTGTATGTGAGCAGCACCACATAAATCTTTTTATCTCTAAAAAGGAATAATAAAAAACATCCTCCTGTTTTTGTAATAGCCCAGTTGAATATGAGGAGTTTATTGAGAGAATGAAATTACCTTCATTTATACTTACCTTTAGTAGTGATGGAGACGGTTATGGTCAGGAGAGCAGCCCTATATGACTCACTATATGACCTTGTTCTAGAGTGATTTTTTTCAGTGATTAAATTATAGCAATAGAGAGAAATATCTGCATCTCTCTGCTTTTATTTTATTAATTTATTTATTTGTGATATCAGCTTCGGTCTCTTAACATGTCATGTTTGTTTCCTGGTGTCATGTGACACCAGTAATGTGGTTGATGATAGGTGATAGCTTTAGCACATACATGCGTGCTATGCGACGCCTCTAAATGTGCACACGGTCATATCTATGCTCCATAACTCAGGCATACTGCTTTGCCCAAAACTTGCATTTATCATGATTACTAATGATAAGTCAGGTCCACTGTCCTTCCTGTACTGTGACGATAAAAAATAATAGTGACGATAGCAGCAGGTAGTTGTAGTTTGTGTTCTACACCTAACAGATTGAGCTAACAGATTTTACTAATGACATCTTCACAGTGTCTTGTAGAACGTGTCGAGTGACTTTTAAAACAACAATTCTGTCAGTTGCAGACTTTACTGACCTGTGCTCTGTTAGATTGGTCTGACGCGTCTAACCGCAAGTCAAAGCCCCCGCTCGATGAGATGGTACTTTAAGATCCTGCAGTGACCATTGGCAATTGCATTCATACCTGTGCTCAGTTTGGAGAAACCTGGGGAAACGATCACTAATCTATTAAAATGCAGTTTTCGTACAGAAAAAAACATCAGTCACTAATGGGAATTGAACCGATGGTCTTCTTGTAGTAAGGCAAGAACAGTGACCTCTCTTCCACAATGTGGCTTACACTTATTTTATAAGTCAAGAAATTGTGATCCATATATCACCCTCAAACAATCTAATAAGTGGAGCAGAGGTTTTACTTCAACAGCTTGCATAATAGCCCTCCGGACTTCTCCCCATCCCCAAATTTTGTATTTTCACATTTTCATGCAGAACAATGAAGCAGAAGCTGCAGAATTACTGCCACTGAAAAGGAGCTGTGGCCTCTCTTCTCTCCCAGGCTTCCTTTTGTTGCTTTTCTCCTCTTTGTATTGCCATTGTATTTCACCTTTCCCTGTTTCTCGCAGTAGATGGTTGCATCTCAGGGAGGAGTTCAGTTTCACACTGTGGGACTGAATCCTACCACCTGAGTAATGCTGTACGTGTATTTGTCAAATTGATGATACATGTGCAAGACCTTTTTAATCTCATGTGATCTCTGTTATTTTTCATTCTCTTTTTCAAACACGACATTAATTTAGCCGTTATTGTTGCAGCTCTTGACTAAACATAAGCACACACATTAACTGGTGCACATTAGTCTTAAGTGGCCAATTTTATCCTGTTAATTTTTCTTGCGAAGTGGCCAATTTTATCCTGTTAATTTTATCCTGTTGACATTTTTATTCCAGCTCAGTCATTGCTGCACAAAGAAAGAAGGCGCACACACTCAGACAATTTAACACATCAAATACATTGTGTTATTAGTAGTGGTACAGAGAACCGTGTTGACGTGTTTCTGTATTGGACCGGTGGATAGAGTGGTCTCAGTTCAGTGTGCCCTATGAATAGAACAGTGTGCAAATTTATATTTAAGATGCACTCTGTGCTGAAAGCTCAGTGAATCTGCGCTCGACTACTCCACCTTAGGCTGCATTGTCAAGCATAGATCCACTAATTGGTGCCTCCCACATTCATTCACACCAAGGTGCTACATGCGGCACTAGCTTGTTGCAACATGGATAATGCCTCAAATTATGAGTGAAATTTATGTGAAAATGTAATTACAATTCATGAATGTTTCATAAATAAATGACAGAACACAACTGCAGCGTGGCATAGGAAAATAAAGGTGTGCATGCTGCTGGAAAGGTTAAGGTGTCAAGGTGGCATGCCTCCTTAAAGGCTTTTTTTTAAGGTGGCATGACTAGATACCTTAAAAAAACTTTAAGGGGGTCTGTTCTTTAATAAGTAATGAACCATGGGTCCTGATCATTAAGGATTTTTTTATATCTCTTTTATTAAGAGTTAATAAGCTTATTCAATGAGCTCTACAGAAGATGGGTGATTTATCAGATGCATTTACTTTATTATTGTTTTTACAAGGTGCCATTTGTTTTATATGGTTCTTACTTCTAAGTATGCATGGCACACATTTTCAATGAACTACAACACTAAAGCATCGAATCGAACTGTGAATTTTGTTTCATTTTCAATGAACTACAACACTAAAGCATTGAATCGAACTGTGAATTTTGTTTTGCACCCCAGTTATTAGAGGACCTTCTTTTTAATCAGCAGTGCACTCCAATGTATTATCATAGTAATCCAGGAGTTCAGCTGGCATGCACTTCTGCACATGGACTGTTCTTTTACCCCACACACCACAAAAGTCTTCTTGTGCAGCACTTTGAATCAACTGCTATACACTGGGATCTACATGAACAGTATATAGGTAGATATAAACAGAAAGTAGATTCACTCTACACTATGAGATCACACCCTCCACTAACTCATCACACACATTTACCATTTTCCCTCTCATCTCCACACATACCTGCTATTCTGTTGCCATTTTCTGGATTTAATGGTATCTCTGTAGTACTGGAACTCAGTCCCCCTTCATTTGGCCATCTTCTCCCATCTTCCATTATCAGCAGCCTCAATCTGAGTCTTTCAGAAGAACAGTGCAGTCTTTCAACTCGCTGTGGGTCACAGCACTGGCTGATAGAAAGTTGCCTGGCAACACTGAGGGCTACTGAAGATCTGCTAGCTCTTGGTAAAGAAGACAACAGTCACACTGATGAATGTCAGAGCAGTGAATCATGGGCAAATCAGAAATATTATCAAATGGCCCAGCTCTACCTTCTCTGTGCTGTTTCTGTGTTCTGGGCAGCGTTGTTGCTGATGTTTCCTTTGTCCAAAACATGTACTACTTCAGCCAGACCTGATTTGTTTGAATGATGCGTCTCATAGCAGTAGGATGTTTTCAAAATCTAACTGATTGACCCTCTGATTGCTTGATGCTTGATTTCATACTCAGCCTCTCAGGTTGAAGTGATGATCCTGTCTTTTGAAGGGCTTTTTTGATATTGACATTGACATGTTTTTTTTCCATAGCAATTTAACATCTACAGTAGTAGTTTTTCTCTACTTTAATGCAATTCATTAGTATTAGTTCGAACCATCATTATTTTTGGCCCAGCACCAAATTTACATTACTATCCGTACTACTACTTGCACTGGAGTACTAGTCTGCAGTGTGAAGAGAAAAACTGTAAATGTCATCTGGAGTCAATAAAAAATCAAATGGGTTGGAAATGGGTATTGAATGCCATAGTTTTTGTCATTTAGAATGAAGCGTTTTCTTTTTTTGTATTTGTTGTGATACATTGAGAAGTGTTGAATGAAACTTGGATCCAGATGGAGTCAATGGTAGCAGTGGATCTGCTTTGTTTTTTATTGTTTTTTTTTTCCGTTTAATTGGCTTGAGTTTTACAACAGGAAGTATAGTTTTAATGGCTGCCCTTGAACATAAATCCTCATTGCTCTAAAATCACCTTCTTTACAGTATGTGCTGCCCATAAGGCACACAGCATCTGTGCACTGAAGGCCTGTGTTTTACCTGCTCATTCAAACGCTGAATTTGTGCATAATAGGCCATTATTACATTGACTTAAAAATAACACAAAGACGTAGTCACAGAGATTTTTCACAAACCTTGAGAGATGCGTGTGATTTTCTTTTTGAACAGCTAATTACTGCACAGTGTATTTTCCTGAGCTTTGGAGAGTCTTGTCATTGAAGGCCTTGATCTCACAATGTGTTTCCTCCAGGTCTTCATACTTTGTGGCAGACAGAGGCTCATCCTGTCTTAGTTTCTGTGAAGGTTTAACCAACTTGTTTTTGTTTAAATGACTAATGACTAAGAGCTTTAAAACTCTTGGTCCATGCTGATAAACTAAAATGCAATAAGAAAATACAAGGGCTGGTCACTGGCACACTGTGAGAGAACAATTGGAAAATATGTTTAATAAATGATCACTTTTTACATGGATTTTGCCTAATGAAATAAAAAATAAAATTTGTGTGAGTTACGTATGTTGCTCAAATATAAATA